ATATACTGGCAATCTTACTGTGAAATTGACCTTTCACCTACCTTTTGATGAACTTTTGATATATTTTTTTGCATATTTTGAAAATTTTTGTTGATTGCATTTTTACAGCTTGTCAAGCAAAAGACTGGTGGCTGTGTCCCTTATTTTGTGTATGTGGGGGTCTATACGAATGCGCTTGCTCCAGCTGGTGGTACAATATTCGGAGGCGGTATCGCCTCTCTGATCCTCTAGTTCCAGGTTGATTTCTTGTCATTTTCCAGGAAAATAGTTGTGGATTGGATAAATGCATTAAAATCTGATAAAAGTTTGACTCATTTTTGTTCCAGACTTTCAGACCATGAACCAAAACATACCACTGTCAGTGTTGATGTGTCTAAGATAGCATACAAACCAACTCAAAATGATGTGAAAATATACACTGACAGTAGTAATGGAATCAAGTCTGGTACCAATTCTTACAATAAGGTAATTATCATTTTGATACTCTGGTGTTGTTTTTGTGGTGATTTCTCATTTTTCACAAGTTAAGAGGTATGGTAACCATTCAGATACTGTGTGTGTGGTGGGGGTGGGGCTGCAGCTTACAGGGACTTTAGTGTGAGTGTCATAAAACTTTGAATTATTGAAAAGGTGCTTTATTGTCAGAGGTGCTAACATTTTAAGTACAAGATGAAGTCTTTTCTTAATCCTTTTCAGATGCAGCCGAGGTCTTCTTTAGATGAAGATTCAGTTAAAGGCCCATCCCCACCCAAAACAGATTCCTACAACAATCTGTATGATGCTTCTTCAAATGTCTCCCTTGGTGCTGCTGTGCACAAGCCAGCCACTCAATCCCTGCCAAGAACACACTCTCCAACCCGTTATAAAAGACCTGCACCAGTGAATAGACACAATGATGTAGGCGAGAAAAGGGCTCCCATAGCCACTCCAGAGGGCAGTCCAACTGCACAGCGTGCTCATCCACCAAGAAACTTTATCAACAGCCCTGGAGCTGGACGGACAGCCCCTCAGAGAATTCAACATGTTGGTCAAAAACCCAGCACAAAACGCCCCACAGATGGAGTAGAACATACAGGAAAAAGTAATGGAAATGTTAAAAACTATAATGCTCAAATTAGAAATCACCATCCTGTGGGATATAGCCCATACCCAAATGGACAGATACCTAAAAGTTCCAGTCGGAACAGTTTGGGGAGCAGGTCCTCTGTTGAGAGAGGCCCAATAGAAAATGGTGGTGCTGGACTCATAGAAGAGTGGCCTGCTGACAGGTCTGGTTATAAAAGGCCCATGTCATTTGTACGAGCACTAGAGATGTCTGAAAACATGGAACAGCAACAGGCTAAAGAAAAAGAACATGAACGCCATAAACAGGAAATTGCACTGGCCAAAGAGAACAAAAAGAGAAGTTTATATGATTCCACATATGAAATTTCAGTTTGAAATTTCCAGACAAAAAGAAATGCACTGTAGGTTGACTAGTCTAAGCCTCAGGGTTTTCCAAGGTTTGAAAGGAAAGTAGCTGAATATGTTACAAGCCCAGTTTGGTCAATGAAAGTGCTATCCCCAATGTGGAAAAGATGAGCATTATACTCTTGTTTGCACTTGAACTAATGAGAGTGACGACATTCTAGTTATTAAAGCTGGTGTTTTTTTGTTTTGTTTTTTTAGTGTAAGCTTTGTAACAGAAACAAAGTCACAAATGTTGTGTATGGTCAGTTTGGGCAAGTATGTTACATGTCATATTATAAGAGCCTTGTTACATATCGGTGTAAACAACGGATCATTCCATTTTGGTTCAGGTCTTAACAGAATGCCTTCAGTATGAAAGGCAATCAGGTAGGCGGAATACTGCTAGTGACAATTTCAGAACTGCAGAGTTGTAAGCATATTTTTCTAACCAAACTCTGCAGTCTATGTTGCAATCTCATCAAAGTCTAGAAAAAGTAAGAAATGTAAAATTGTAAGAAGGATCTGTTTGTGGTCTGTAAGAGAGCAATACTCCCATAGATCACTTTTTTTTTATCATTCTCTCCGAAGTGAAGAGCTGATGGGGTCTTCCAAAAATGTCTATATTCATAAAAGAGAAAATAGGCTATTTTTACAACTATCACATTAAAAAAAGAATGAGCAGCAATGATTACCATTTGGTTATGAAGCCCAATAACAAACTTGTCATCTAGGACTTGTGTACCTGTTCATGAGTTCATTTTAAAAATGCATGTTGTTATTGGACAACTGATTACAAGGGATGAAGTGGATCCTTGGAAAGTTACCACTGACAGATACATACACCTGATTGCAAGAATTCAGACCTTGTATAAGGTAATTAAGCATGCTCCTGGTAAATCAGAAAAAAGTAAACACTTCAAGTGGGTCTTACCGATTAGGCAGTTGTACAGCAAAATATTTTTAAAAATTCCCTGAAGCTATGTCCATTGCCTGAGGCATACCTTATATTAATCAGGCGAGAAAAGATCAAATGATAAGTTTTTAAGATCAACCTTGTAAAAAAAAAAGGCACTTCTTTGTCTTAATTTTTCAACATTTCTGTTCTGCAATTTGCGAATTGACCGGCTAGAAGTGTAGGAACAACTTCGCAGTATCTTCTTTCTTGAAAATTGGTAATGGGGCTCATATATAAAGTATTTTTCTTTATTTACCAGACCAATTGAACTTCTGATCATGCCCTCCACATTAAACATTTTTTCACACATTTCGGTAAGACCCGCTTTAAGAACTAGGTGTTTGAATATACAGCCATAAGTTGGTATAATTAACCTGGTCTTAATTGTGGTAAGTTATTGCTATGAAACATTACTTATAATGCTTTTTAACTAAATCGGACCATTTGGTAATTATGTTCAAATTCTAGTTTAATAAGTGAATCAGAATTTATATTTTATATTGGGTGACAAACTTGGATAGAAAATGGTGTAAAAAAGATGATCATGTCATTGAAGATTTTTTTATATTTGTTTATGATTATATTGAAATATTACACAAGATGTTGTTTTGCTTGTTGGCTAAATGGCATGTATTTTAAAGGTTTTTGCTGTGTCCAAGCTTTGCAAGATTTACACAATACAACTAAGTGCTAATTTTGCTCATTATAACATGATGATCACAGTGTTTAATATAGTGTACATTGCATTTACAAGTAGGATGTTTTCAGACATATGTAATCAGTTTATATGATAACAGAATTTAGTTATATTTATTATTGTCAGTCTTCAAAACTGTATAAAGACAAAATGATGTAACATAGCAAATGTCTTCTTTTATAATAATAAAAGGTTATAAACTTACATTGTGTGATTATGAGTATGGTAATTACAACTTCCCAAGTGAGTGGCATCTGCAGATACCAACCTTCAATTTGTGGCCAAATATATGTGTGTTTCAAATAAGGTTATTTTATCTTAAATATAAGAATGGACATGATCTAACATTTACAGATGCCATTTGTAATGAATGGTTAATGACCAGTAAAAAATTCTAGAAAAATTCTTCTGAATCATTGTTTTTATAACAATGCCTCATAATAGCTATGTCTCTGTGCCCTCATCTTCAATGGGTTCCACAATCTGCAAGCAAAAATCCACAAATTCTGCAAAAACTGGCTCATGCATTGCATTGTCGATGTCTTTGGCGGTATTGTCACTTCTGTCCAGTGCTAACAGCATATTGCACAGGTGTGGGTTTTCTAAAAGGCTCCTTAACTCTTCGGATTGACCTAAAATGAAGAAAAAATTTTAATTTAATAAACTAATAGAGAAAAATTGCATTTTAAAAAGTAAACAGTCTTCAAACAACACTTTGCTGTTAGATGATACATTTGTATTTCAAGACTCAATTTTCACACTTGAAAGTAAATGTTTAATAATGCACGTTAGTTATCCTCAGTAATACCACACTTTACCTAGTAACTTCAATTTTTGCTCTGAAACCTGATCTTCACTTTTATCTTCATCTCCACTAGAATCTTCTGAAATCAAAAATTTCCATTTAAACTACTTGGTAATGCTGACAGACACTTGAAAGATGTGTTTTGCCAATGCTCCATTTTATCATAAACAGGCAAGTTCTAGTAAACATTTTTTAAATAATCTAATCAAGCAGGTTTTAAAAACAAATCAATGCCACTCTACAGATACACAGTTTGGCACTTATTAAGTCAATAACTTGAGTAAAAATTAAATTGAACGGGTGTTTATATGATTTAAAATCAACAGAAACAGTGTAATGCTAGTATCCTAGAAATATAGGTGCTAATTTTTTTTTCTTACCAAGCTGTGAGGTGTGTGTACAGGCAGTAGAAGAATGAGTACCTATTTTTTTAGGCAAGTTACATCCCACCTCTGGAGCAAAATGAATGTTGAAAATAAATAATATATCAAAATTCTGAGGTAAAAATGTTTTGCAGAATTCATTTTTCGTTAAGGGTCACTTAATTAAAGCACTTAATGCGAACTTTTCTTATCAATATTTGATCTTTGCTCCACTGAAATTTATTTGACAAATAAGTCTTCCATACATGGATTAATTCAATTACACAAACAATATTAAACTGTACAGAAAAACATAATCCAACAAGTATTATATTCAATAAAAAGTACCTTTGTGTTTTCTGTAACAAGGCACTGAGCAGCTGTAAGAGAAAAGTAAACCATTTGTGATTCATGGAACTTATGCTGATATAGATAAATCCCCCAAACCATTGTACACCTCCTATTGAGACAAACTATTGATATCACATACTGAGAATACAGATCTCATTACAAAAAAAAAAGAAAACATTTTAGAAAAAAACCAGGGACTAATTTTGAACGTAGAAATGGATTTGTTAACCATTGGTAAGTATAAGAAAATTGTCATTTACCCCAGAAAAATTCATTTTTTGGCCAAAATGAACAGTTGTTGTCCTTTTAAGGAAGCAAAGCCCCCCCCCCCCCCCCCCCCCCCCCCCCACACCACCACCACCATCTACAACTACACACACCAACGAAAAATTCAAAGTCACAGCATTCAAAGATAATTTTTTACAACAGAGGCTAAGGATTAGTGTCTACTTACTATTTTGTACGACATTTAGGGCATTTGTACTTAGCCATGTGCACTGTACAGATACCGCACGTTTCTGAAATCTTAGCCCCGCGTTTATCCATGCTTTTCTACGGAAGTGCCCTGCAACAGCTAAATACGGATATGTCTCCGCGTAGAAAAGATAATCTCGCTATTTAATGTTCCATTTTTGTTATAGCAGAAATCGTCTGCAAAGGAAATCTTTTTTACAATTTATTTGTGTGATATTAGGGCGACTGCTTTGATATCAAAATTTATCTTGATTGCAGTGCTTTCATGCGCAGTAATCCAAAACATTATTACCCCGCACTAAATGATAATTATAATTGTCTTTGCACTTTATACTCTTTGAATTCTTAGTTACGCCTCTAATATTTTGAATTTGAATTGTAACGTAAAATGTATTTTTCCTTTACCCATAAAATTGTAAGACATGATTAGAATTAACAATGTGCGTGTTTGTTATTGTATTAAGTGCAGAGTCCTGTTAATGAGAACTGTGGTGTGAATGGAAAGTAGAAATGGCTCGGTTCGGAGGGCAGGATGTCGATGGGTTTGCTGATGGCAAGACAGACAAAAACGGCACATCCTTAAGACCTGTTTGTGAATACGTAAGCGTACTTTTGCCTAGAGAACAAGATGGAAAATACCTACTGACGCAGTACGATGATCGAGGGTGGTGGTTACCGTCAGATTGCAAGGATGAAAGAGAATCCTTTAAGGATGCAGCACAAAAATTTGCAACACAGGTACCCTCAAATCCCTTGCAAATGAGACCATGCAATTTTTCATGTGAAAAGTTATTGGATGCTCATTTAAGAATATGTAAATCATTAATTGCAGCTTCAAAATATTCAATATACATAATACAAAGCCATTTATTCTACTGGTAATCGCAGTACGCCACAGGTTGTTTTTATTGATTTCCTATTATACAGTTGCGTGCAATCCCACATATACAGGTTGATTCATGTGCATTTGCATATACATGTTTGGATTAAAAAATGATTCATATCTGATTCAGAACAGATTTCTGTGTGGATTTAATCTAGCAGGAAATCCATGTGTTAGCATTCCTATATGCAGTTCCTGATATGTATGCTATACTAAGGTCTTTGCTCTCATGCATTAGCACAGCATACATATCAGGAGCAGAAAATATGAGAGCTAATGCATGAGATTAGTGCTAGTTTCAATCCTGACATTTTTCTGATACAACCAATGACAGGCCAGTCAAATCTCACACATCAGACGTGAGACTTCCACATTGGCAATTTCTTTTGAGTAATGTGATTTTTGCTTTTTTAACATGAACAGCAAAGTTTACTAGTAGGTTTTAAAAACTGGATAACCATACATGGTGACTGGGTGAGTATTAAAAGGACAAATTAATTTTGTAATTTTAGATATAAAATGTTTTCTTAATATATGACTATTTTTATTTTGTAAGTTAATTAACAATATTTTTTTTATAGTTGGCTGGTACTGAAGTCGGTCTTCAAGGCATTCTGAAAAGTCATATTGTCCGGTTGAAGGAATCCCTCAGGCTTGATATTACCTTTTTGGCTCATCCCATCAATTGGAAGGACACGGGAATTGTAACCACATGACTACTTTACTTACTGTTCTTGAGAATATAAATTTATTTTCTTTTATTCCACATATAGCTGTAAAATAACGTTGTTGATGAGACATTTGCATAGATTTTGCATGATCAGTTAAATTCTGATGTATGGAACATATTATTCATCAGATTTTCATGTTTTGTTTCTGGTCTTCTTTTTTTAGCTTACATCCATAAAATTTTTAATATTTTTTTAGAATGATGGCAATAGGATATGGGTTTCTCTGAGTGAATTGAAGAAAGCAGTGGAAGCAGGGGTGGAACCTACTCTACTGGGCAGGGAACCAATAGAGCTTATGAGTCAAGTAGAAAAGGGTAAGAAGATATATCTATCTTGAAGAGTAGTTCCACAAAATTTTTATCCATCTCTCAGGCAGGTGAATGTGTCATTGTGTGCTAACTTAAATGGTAAAGTAAACAAATGTATTTGTGAATGTTGATGATATACCTTCCATTATTTATAGTATAAGCATTTATAATAAAAGGATCTTTTTGCAGGTCTAAGGTTGTCAAGCCTTATTAGAAAATGTCAGTGTTGTAGTTATTTTTGCAGCAACAGTTTTTAACTTCTGCAGTAAGATTTTTCACCAGGTGATTTATCTCCCTAGATTCTTTTCAATGAATTAGAATAAGTCAGATGTATTATAAATATGTGCTGTCATTGTAGGCCCGTAGCCAGGGGGGGTTCGGGGGGTTCGAAAGAACCGCCCCTTTTGGTGGGAAAAGGTCCACTCTGGGTAAATTTTGATCTAGGTTTATTGAAGTTTTTATGGAAAAAGGTCCACTTTTTCAGAAAAAGAACCCCCCTTTTGAAATTGCTGGCTACGGGCCTGCATTGATAATTGCTTAACAGTGTTGTTATCCTCTTCATCTGCAGGCAGTTGTATTGTTCCATTGTCATTTCTAAGTGAACACATGGCAGATTGTACTGAAAGTTCTGTGGATAACCATGATTCTCCACAAAAACAATTACTCAAGGCTGCTAAACTGGGCAAAGAAGGTGAGAAATATCACATTACATAAAGCACCTAAGATGAACTTGTGTTGGACTTAAGCTGATGAAAAGCTCCAGCTATGTGTGCTGTTAAATTACTTGTTATTTTGGCATACCATTTGTGGTATAAATCAGTCTACCATCAATTGTTGAATGCTGTTAATGTTGTTGAATGCTGGGATTTTTAGTTTTGAAGACCTTAACATGACACTGGCTTTTTGGTGCATAGTTACACTGTAAAGTATTCCTTCATACTATATATAAATAGATGTAATAGTTTTTGAAAGATCTGCAAACAAATAAGGTAACTCACAGAAGACTAAATATTCTGATTTTATGTATTTCTCTTTTAAGAAATAGAAATTCTGTTCCAAGAATTTTGTATGCAATGTTCTCCCAGCTTAATGATGAATGAGACAGTATTTAAGAAGTATTTACTCAGCAAAGGAGCCAAAGAAGAAGACCTTACAGATTATTTCAGGTACATTGTACCATAACTTGCTGTTTTCTGATTGTAACATCATGCTTACCTGAATACAACAGAAAAGGGGGTGATACCAGCTGTCTTTAAGATTTGTCCTAATGACTAATGTTTCACTCTATCAATTTGATATAGATGAAAAACATAAAAACACAAAGTCTTTCAAAAAAGTAAACAAGTTAAATTTTCTCTTGCTTAAGTAATACACTATCTTTATGTTAGCGTGAGCCTAACATTACATAGACACTAATTGCTTATATATATTCCTGTTTAATAAAAGAATTTTTGCTGACATTAATTGAAAGTTCTATTCAATTGTAGGGCCTTTGATGTGCACCACAGAAAAATGTTAACTTTTAAAGAAGTGTTATTAGGCTTGGCATCTCTAGACCCTGTAACACAACATGGTGGCACACCAGCAGAGATGAGATGTCGGTACATGTTCAGGTTTTATGATAAAAATGGAGATGGTTATCTACAGTTTGACGAATTCAAGTATGTTTATTTTTAAGTTTTAGACAGTGGCATTCTTTAGGTGCTGATTTTTTTTTTTTTTTGTCAGAAATGTGTGAAATGTTTGTTTTTTTTTTAAGGATTTGTTGCTTTTAATTGATATAGAAGTGACAAGACTGAGGTTTAAAAAAAAATCTTATTATGTTGATGCTGTGGTTAGTAATATTAGCTGTAGCCATATAACAGTAATATAATCACATGAGTGATAGAATATAGTTTCATTGCTTAGCAATATTATTATGAAAATGATATTTTTCTTCATTTTTTAGAAAAATAGTGCTTGACATAAGATATAGCAAAGGGCAGACAATGAGTGAAAAAGAAGTTGAGAATGAAGCCATAGAAAATGCCAAGTATGAACATTAATTTTTTTGTTTAAAAGGAAAAGCGAGTATTTGTATTTGTCTGATCATGTAGATGTATATATTTTATTTAAACAACTGAAAGCACTAGTTCATGTATATTCTTTTAAATATTTAAAAATGCAAGCACAAGCTACCAGATGATGTTGCTGTCATGTGCATATTATCTTATAAAAACAAAACAAAGTTAATTTTCTGATAGAATACAAGTACTTATGCTTGGAAAATTTATATTTATTCATTTTCCAGAGTATTTGGGAAAGAAACCAAAGAAAAACTCCCTCTAACAGATTTTTTGACTGCGGTAGGTCAACTCAAGTTCAGAGGTACTTCATCTCTGTTCAGGCTACCAAATTCCTGTATACCAAGGAATAAGAGGAAAAGGTAAGTTGAGCGTGTTAACAACTACATGGGTATGACAAGCAATTCATTATGGAAAATGTTTGAAAATCACATACTTTGGTTCTGACATTTTGATATCCATATTTTTATTTTTACTTTCCAAAACAAATTCTGTGCTAGTCTTGTAATCTCAATCAGCTTATCTAGTGCATATTTAAAGATTCATATAAAGCAAACATGGATTTCCAGACACACATATAAGCCACTTATACTAGTGTGAAAATAGTTTCATTTGATCTCAGTTTTGATCGTCAGAAAGTTTTCGTTTATGATAGATCCAGATATTTGATTTACCTGTTGACTGTTTCGTCTGTTCAACCTGACAGACTTGGTCACAACTAAATTACCTGTTCAGGTGAAGGTGAACAGGTAATTACCTCAGTCTTGTTCAGTTGTGACCAAGTCTGTCAGAGTGGGGGCACTACCTCTCAAAAACCAGTTGGATTACCCCCAATTTTTTTTTTTTCATATTTTTTACTCATATGGTGAGTTGATTTTGTTGTACTATTTTTTTTTTCAAAACCGCTAGGGCAGAAATGGTGTATCTGAAATATGAGAGAACACCTTAAATGCATCTTTAATGTGAACTTTTTCAATTTATGCAGAGCCACTCCAAAGAAGAATGAGGATGGTCTCAGCCCACCTAATAATAAAAGGTCAAGGTCTGACATCCTGAACACCACAGATAATTTCAACACAAGGAGCAGTTCTCCAGACAAGGCTGATGGTAAGTGTGCATTGTTAATTTAAGGGTTTGGTTTATCCAGTTAGCTCCTTTTGAATTAAAAAGAGTATAGAGGATAAATTTTTGATGTGTATGAATATTTCAGACTGAAAGCAACTGATTATTATTAAATGAATAGTGATAAATTTTTCAGTCATTCTTTTGCTTGCTGTTCTAATAATTATGTAAATTAAAATTAAATCTGCTCTCTCTCTCGCTCTCTCTCTCTCTCTGTGTGTGTGTGTGTGCATATATTTCTACATGTTAGTACACACATACTTTATCAACCACTGCAAATGAACCTTTGCTGTTTTCTTTTACTGGTGTTTGAGTGTCTGTTTGAATGTATTGAACCAATAATGTTTTGTCTTCGGACTAGATGCAGAAGACATCCCAATATTTGCTTCCCCTTTAACCCCAGGCCCCTTGTCTGTGGACTCCAAATATGAGTTGGCAACACACACAGTTAAAGTACGCAGGACTGGAACTCTTTTGGATGTCAGTGCATTGTGGGATTTGCAAGGTTGGAAAACAGTTTACTTGGTAAAATATTAATGAGTATGAAGTCATATTTTAAACTGACAGCAAAATCTATATATTATGTAGAATTGTAAAAAGGCAGACACTAGAGTTGCTAATATTCAGTGGAGCAATATATATATGATAATTGCTTTCAAATCAAAATTATCATATTTGTAGGTACATCAACAGGTATAGCAGATGTAGATCTCACAGCAGAACGAACAAGGTTTCACAGAATGCCTTCATTAGATTCCTTTAACCAGGTGCCTGATGATAATTAACTTGATTATATTTTGTTTAAATATCTTTTGTAAATTATGTTATTTTCTGAGATGAATTTGATTAAAAAATTATGTTGTCTTAGTCTTTATCTAAATGTACACTTTTATTTGCAAACACAGTTGTGTACATGTGTGTACAANATTAATTTAAGGGTTTGGTTTATCCAGTTAGCTCCTTTTGAATTAAAAAGAGTATAGAGGATAAATTTTTGATGTGTATGAATATTTCAGACTGAAAACAACTAATTATTATTAAATGAATAGTGATAAATTTTTCAGTCATTCTTTTGCTTGCTGTTCTAATAATTATGTAAATTAAAATTAAATCTGCTCTCTCTCTCTCTCTCTCTCTCTCTCTCTCTCTCTCTCTCTCTCTCTCTCTCTCTGTGTGTGCATATATTTCTACATGTTAGTACACACATACTTTATCAACCACTGCAAATGAACCTTTGCTGTTTTCTTTTACTGGTGTTTGAGTGTCTGTTTGAATGTATTGAACCAATAATGTTTTGTCTTCGGACTAGATGCAGAAGACATCCCGATATTTGCTTCCCCTTTAACCCCAGGCCCCTTGTCTGTGGACTCCAAATATGAGTTGGCAACACACACAGTTAAAGTACGCAGGACTGGAACTCTTTCGGATGTCAGTGCATTGTGGGATTTGCAAGGTTGGAAAACAGTTTACTTGGTAAAATATTAATGAGTATGAAGTCATATTTTAAACTGACAGCAAAATCTATATATTATGTAGAATTGTAAAAAGGCAGACACTAGAGTTGCTAATATTCAGTGGAGCAATATATATATGATAATTGCTTTCAAATCAAAATTATCATATTTGTAGGTACATCAACAGGTATAGCAGATGTAGATCTCACAGCAGAACGAACAAGATTTCACAGAATGCCTTCATTAGATTCCTTTAACCAGGTGCCTGATGATAATTAACTTGATTATATTTTGTTTAAATATCTTTTGTAAATTATGTTATTTTCTGAGATGAATTTGATTAAAAAATTATGTTGTCTTAGTCTTTATCTAAATGTACACTTTTATTTGCAAACACAGTTGTGTACATGTGTGTACAACAAATGTGTGTTTGTGTGTGTGTGTATGTGACAGATTTCCTGTTGTTGCTTCCAGAAGTCTCACTCCAATGAAATGCTAACTGGACTGAGGTATTTTGAAAGAACAATCAAGGCAACCAATGGAGGTCAAGCAAAGGTTAGTTCTGCAATGAAAAGAGACGTTATTTTGTTATGCTTGTCAGATCATTTGTAAGGTTGCCTTTATTATTTATTTATTTGATTTTTTAAAACTTTATTCATATTTTTGTTTGTTTGTTTAATATATTTTTCAGGCGGCTTTTGACTGGGGACAAGTAGACAAAAATGCTCTTGCTAAATGTTTACTGGCATTATGTAGACAAGCTAAAGTGACCTTGGCAGCAGAACCAAGATTACTGCGACTCAAGTCACCAACTTACATTCTAGGTAAGACAAAAGCCATTTTGCCGGGAATGTTTCATTTTATGCCCAGGTAGTAATATAAATAGTCAGAATGTGACCAGAGAGGTTGGTTAGAAATGATTTGATTCAATGTTTGTGTGATAAACCATTTGCAGTCCTCAGGGATAAAAATAACAATTTTAGTTAAGAATAAAAAGGTTAGATACAGTTTGTTTATTAATTAATTGGAAAATTTAGCTTTGATGAGGCTTTTTATGGTATTTTAAACAAATGGATTTATACCTGAGTATCTGATGTTTACAAGATCTTACTAAATTCTGTCACTCTAGGAGATATCCATGGCAATTACAGAGACTTGGTATGTTTTGAGAAGGTTTTATGGCGTATGGGACCCATGCTTACTCCTTCAACATTTTTATTTCTTGGAGACTATGTAGACAGAGGAGAGTTCGGGGTAGAGGTGAGACTTGATATTTTATGCAGACTCATCAAGTAAAAACTTTCTGAGGAGAAAATGGAGTGTGTGTTGTTGGTATTAAAATCAGATGATGTTGAAAATGAGAAAAAATAATAAGTAGCAGCAATGCCAGTGGCTTTTGACTTTTTTTACCTGAAAATGCAATCTTAAAGTTATGTACAATATAATGAATTTCCATTTAATTAAAGAATGCTTTTAATTATGCTTAAAAGAATTTCCTACTCAAATGTACCTAGATTAAAGAAATTTGAATGAAAGTGTGAGCAACTGATTTAGAGGTAATGATTATAAAGTTCAAAGAATATGTATTGTTAAATGCCTAGCAATAATTACTTATGTATAAGCTGACCGAATGTTTTATGCTTTGTAGGATTTAAGGCTTTCAGCAGATTAAAAGTTCTATGCAAAACTTGAATTAATGTTATGCAAAGATCTTCCAAATTAAGAATTGATTTATCTGAAGTCTCAATTTAAATAGAATTTTCAGTTTGGAATATCTTCTTCTATTTGTGACACTTTTAGTCTGAGTATTTCCACGGTCTAATGTGATTGGTTCCATATAAGTAAATTTTATTATTTAGGTTGTGGCATACCTGCTGGCACAGAAATTGCTGGGTCCTAGCAAGTTCTACTTGTTACGCGGCAACCATGAACTCAGATCTGTGCAGCAAATGTTTCAGTTTAAAAAGTAAGATGCCCTTGATGAATTAATAATATTTACTCAATTTCTTTTCATTTTTTTTATTTTCTCTTTAACTACTTGATTGAATAAGACGTAGTAGAACAGAGGTTTACAACTGCAATTATATATTTCACTGCATATTTTTCATTGCCAATGCAAGTTCTGTTTTAATTTCAGTGAATGCATCACCAAATTTGGTGACAATGTTGGTGTCCAGGTGTGGGAAGCAGTCAATGACTGCTTTGATGCTATGCCTGTGGCAGCAACAGTAGACAATAAGGTGAGATGACAAGGTATAAGATTAAAGAGATTAAATGTATCACAAATAAATGTATTATGATGATGATGATGATGATGTTCATGTCCTTGACAAAAAAGGAGAAAACTATTCTTTTTTATTTTCAGATCTTCTGTGTTCATGGAGGAATTCCATCACCAGAGCATGGTGGAGGAAGCATTGAAGCAATTAACAGTGTACCAGTCCCTCTGAGAGACCCAGAAACTGAGAGTCCACTGGCTTGGGACATTATGTGGAGTGATCCTGTACAGTTAGTATCTGTTATCCTGGTATCACTAAGATATCAGTGGATAAGATAAATTATACCCTGTTGGACATGCTTTCAACAACAAAATTTTAGTAATGAGTGTAGCCATCTTCCTTGAAGGCTAATATTTTGTGCTTTTGGCTAAAATTTATATGTAAAGAAGAGAGGTGTCTGTTTATATGTTTTGTGAAGCACAACTTAGCCAGCTGAGTGTTAGTGACCAAAAAGCGACTGCGCATTGCTGTGCATTTGTTTGTTGCAGTTGCGCATCCAGCCATTGTTTGCTTGTTTGTTTTAGTTTGGAGATGACCTCACCTGAAATTCTACAAAACTTAAAAAAGAACAAAGGTTTCATTCACAACACACGTAGGGGTACTGCCTACTTCTTCAGTTGTGAGGCACTGATAGAATTTCTAGAGAGAAACCATTTGTCCCATGTAGTCCGTGCCCACGAAGTGCAGCAGGTTGGATTCCAGGTACAGATTTGAACATAAATTGCTTAATTTAATGAACATCCTCAGCTGTCACCAAATGAGACATTTTCCCTAGGGAGACTTCATGAAAAGTTGTTTTTAAACAGGGCAGGGTCTAAAATCTGGTGTGCACAAATGATTATTGGTTGTCTTAAACCAAAAAACTGTGATATTTAGTAAATAAATAGTTTGACCACGTGTGATCTCAGGGTTGTGTACAGTGATATTATCCTCAATTTCTCATTGGTAGGTTCAGCAAAGGGGAAAGCTGCTGACAGTGTTTTCCTCATCCAGATACTGTGGTGGATCCAATGAAGCAGCATGTGTCCTGGCTGACAGTAACAAGCTCAGAATGATACGACTAGATACGACATGATGTGGCATTTGATGCTGCTTTTACCATGATACACATCTCCTGTTAACTTTAAAGATATTAAGTCGCCAAGTTGGATTGAAGTAATGTAATACAAGCAAGTAATCCTTGTAGACTGAACTACTTGGGTACAAGGATGGCATTGCCATTTTTTGGATTTACTGGTAAATAAACCAAATAACTGACATCTAAGTGTGCGCAAAATGTGATGTGATGCAAAACCCATAAAAGAAGAATTCAGTAACTGATGTATGGGGATTAAATGGCTGTGATCTTGGCTTGGCAAGCTCATGTGGTTGAAAGTGTGTTACCATTTGCGAAGGTTTTGAAAGTTTTAAATTTCAGAACAAGAATTTTGATAGCCAGGTTGACTGGGCAGGTCCCAAGATGACTTTTGATTTTTTTCTTTTAATAAATAAGGCAATTCGAGCAAAAATCTTTCATGAAATGTTGATATTTTAACAATTTCTCTGTCACTTGTCAAGTATTTCATGTATCTGAGCCTAAAAGAAAATTTCACTAGCTGCTTGGAAGTGTGTTCTTTGGATAGTTACTTATTTACTATAACAATCATCCAATTCTATTCATGAAAAAATTTCATATTTATTTATCATCAGTACCTTTATGTAAAATGATGTCATTCAGGAGTGAGAATATTTTTACTAAAGCACTGTACATTCCCTCTCACTTGATTCACACACATAATATCAATTGTTACACTCATGAAGTAGTTTTCAGGATTTCAGAAAACTCAGATGTCTTTATGTGGAATGATGAAGAGCAAAAATATTTACTGTTTGCTAAAAAATTCATCAGTTGTGAGTTGCTATTGTCATCTTTTAATAATAAATTTTTTTCTTCATTTTCAACTTAACTGGCATACTTTTCTTTTTCACGTAAATACGTAGGAATAGATAATAAAAATTATTATAGAAAATATATCAGTAAATGAAAAAATGGCACAATAGCCCTTTAGATAATATATCAGTAAATGAAAAAATGGCACAATAGCCCTTTAGTACATTCAAATCTGATCTCTTCATAAAAGCCCATAGTCCACTTGCTGGAAGAAATGCAGCTTCTGCAAAGTTCTGTTTTTCTCTTTGCTTTGTACTTGCATAACTTGAAGCTGAGTATTTTCTGTTTTCTTTATGATGTTGTACACATACTGAAAGAAAAGCAAACTTTGTAAACTTAATGTAACGTAGCTTAAAGATGCATACAAAGTCAATTTTTTGTCACAAAAACCAACCAAATGCCAGCATATAGTTTGAAGTAGTATAACTAAGAGAATTACCAAAAGNGTATAACCATAGAAGTCTCTACTTCTATGGTATAACTAAGAGAATTACCAAAAGGTATTGTTTAATTTTACCCGAAAATGATGTTTGAACGGATTTTTCTTCTGGCATTCTAAGCTGTATGTCAATGGGTCAGGAAAGTAGGTCACGGAATTAGGTTAATTTTACAACCAAAAATTTAAAGAAAGGAGCAGTCTAAAGGTCTTTTATGGCTGATCGAGTGATCTATTCAGTTTATCCCTTGGCATGTCGAATTTATTTGAGTCATATAAGAATCTAGTAGAAGTGGTTAACATGTGTTACTGGAATCCACGCTCCACCGATGCTCGGTTCGTATGTACCTTTAACAGCGTGCTGAGCAAACATACACAATTCGGTCAATAATATGAGTGAATTGGTTACTTTAATCTAACTAGGACATGAGCCGACCACCCCCAACATGTATCTCTGGTGACACAAATGATATGCGTAAATTGCTCTAACATCATGACTCCAAAAAAAAAAATCTGAACATTCAATAATTTGAACAAAGAAAGAAATTTTGAACAAGGAAAGAAATCTTCAATATTCGTACCAGGAATTGTTATGTAATTTTACCTGAAGAAATTGTTCAAAGTCGATTCCCTGTGAATCTTTGAAATTCATTGCTCTCAGACCAAGTAAACGTAATCCCTCGGAAGAATCGTCTCCCATGGTATCAAGTAGTTCTGTACTACAGAAACAATTAAAAGATGAAGATTGATTAAACTGGTTAATAGTAGGCTAATTAAGTAATTGCCACAATATGCCAGCAGTAAGGTTTCCAAATACTGACGAAAAGCTAATGTAAAATAAAAAATGGTATCGCGTATAAAATTGCTGAANGAATTTATTTGAGTCATATAAGAATCTAGTAGAAGTGGTTAACATGTGTTACTGGAATCCACGCTCCACCGATGCTCGGTTCGTATGTACCTTTAACAGCGTGCTGAGCAAACATACACAATTCGGTCAATAATATGAGTGAATTGGTTACTTTAATCTAACTAGGACATGAGCCGACCACCCCCAACATGTATCTCTGGTGACACAAATGATATGCGTAAATTGCTCTTACATCATGACTCCAAAAAAAAAAAATCTGAACATTCAATAATTTGAACAAAGAAAGAAATTTTGAACAAGGAAAGAAATCTTCAATATTCGTACCAGGAATTGTTATGTAATTTTACCTGAAGAAATTGTTCAAAGTCGATTCCCTGTGAATCTTTGAAATTTATTGCTCTCAGACCAAGTAAACGTAATCCCTCGGAAGAATCGTCTCCCATGGTATCAAGTAGTTCTGTACTACAGAAACAATTAAAAGATTAAGCAGTATGTGTCAACTAAGTGAAGATTGATTAAACTGGTTAATAGTAATTAAGTAATTGCCACAATATGCCAGCAGTAAGGTTTCCAAATACTGACGAAAAGCTAATGTAAAATAAAAAAAGTGGTATCGCGTATAAAATTGCTGAACATAATTCCCAAGGAATAAAACGTTTCACGCATACTAAAAAAAAAACTTACAGCTCGTTGAAATCTAGAATGCCATCCTGATTGAAGTCAAACGTCTGGAATTCCGCTTTAAGTTCCCAAATATCCTCTTCGTCCCACTGGGGAAACCGGTGCAAAAGCACCTCGGTAGGGATATCTAGAAACAATTAAGTAGCAACTTTCTTCTTCTCTATACATTTTACACATTGTTCTTCGCCGTATATGATATAATCAAAGTGATAACTCGAAGCTACAAACTATTTAGATCTATTTACTTAGTAAAAAAAAGCGTATGTAAAAAAATTACCTTCAAACTTTCGCCCAGCTTTTAACATCCGCCGGCGCGCCAAGTGGAAGCTTGCAAAAAATTGCTCCGATGTCTCCTGTAACGGACTACGTGTATTTGGTGCCTCTCCTTCCTCGGTTTTCTGCTTTCCTGAAGATAACTCATATAAGCCATGAAATTAAAATTAAAATTATATGGCCCGGAACATACTTTACTGGAACATACGTAGGCCTATGTTACGTAAATGTATAGCGATGGTAAAAATTAAATGTAGGCCTAGGCGTAAAATTGAGACAGTCGTGGATTTTTGTTCTATACACATATGTTTTTAAAAAGTGAATATGTCTACGACTTCGAATTCATTCAATTTTATTTTCTGATACTTAAGCATGTGAAATACACCTCTATAGTGGGTTTGGGTGAGTAGGGTCATCCTGGACATACAGTAGGCTACAATAGAACTAAAATGACAAGGGCATATATATATATATATATATATATATATATATATATATATATATATATATATATATATAAAGACCTACACGACTGACACAAGTGTACGTAGTAAAAAAGTACCTTGGTAATGCATTTGATCTAGGCAAATAGTAGGCCTAAGTTTGCGAAGACACACATCGTAATTATGAAAACGATTAGGCGTTACCTAAACAATCATTGAATAGGGTACACGATAGGCTATAGTTGTAATCAAGAATCTATTACTCTTCCCGCAATGCAAATTAAAGGTGGTAATAGCGCAACTGCTAACAAAAAATACTCACCGGTTGCAATATATTCGACGCGGTCGTAATAACATATTGGTGGCTTTTTCAACGGAAAGCTTAACCTAATCCCCATAATATAGGAGAAATCCCTACGTCACCATTACTCATACATGTATATGCCGACATGAACTATTCGATTATATCATTTATGTGAGCAAAAGTTCCATATATATTCTTAGCCGGACAAACTGGACATGCCATTTTCTTGAATTTCCACAAAATTATTACTGTTACACTCATGTGTGTGCGTAACCTTAGCGAGGACGCGATGCAACGCTTGTACACGTCATCTTTGCGCGCGGTGACTCAGCACGAAAGTTCGCGATCTACGTTTTAAAATCCACATGAAAATACGGGCTGAGATATCCATGAGTTACCGATCGCGATAAAAAGGTGAAACGAAAGAACTGAAAGCTCTGCCCAAGGAAGCCCACTGCAATTAATTTCGGCGTTATTTGACTAGTGCGTGTGTGCGCGCGGGCGAGAGAGAGAGACGATCAGAGACGGGGCTGGAGAGAGAAAGTATGCTACTCATTGACTCAATTTTACTATGCTAGTTTGACTTACCTGCAAATCAAATCAGCCAAATGCGACAAATTTGACAATATACACTGAATATAGTGCCTTTGTCAACGCCACCGGGGAGGATGGCAACAAACAAGTTTGTTCGTTGAAATTAGAAAATAGTAAAATATCGGCCTTGCATGTATGCGATATGCGTGCCTGAGTATGGTAATGCACCTCTATCGCAATCTGTGAAACTTAAAAGGTGCATACAAAGTCAATTTTTTGCCACATATGCCAGCATATAGTGTCATGTAGTATTACTAAGAGAATTACCAAAAAGGCATTGTTTAATTTTACCCGAAAATGATGTTTGAACGGATTTTTCTGCTAGCATTCTATGCTGTATGTCAATGGGGCAGAAAAGTAGGTCAAAAAGTAGGTTAAATTTCCGACCAAAAATTTAAAGAAAGGAGCAGTCTGAAGCTCTTTTATGGCTGATCGAGTGATCTATTCAGTTTATCCCTTGGCATGTCGAATTTATTTGACTAAGAAACTAGTACTAGTACTTCTACTAAGAAACTAGTAGAAGTGGTTTAAATGTGTTACTGGTTCGTACCTTTAAAAGAAAGCAAGTGCAAGCGACAACGCTCTCATGTGTTTAAAAGTAAATAAAGGGTAGACTGTAAGTTTCCTTTGAAGCATCCTCAGACAAAATGCCCGTAATAATAATTTTCTAAATCAGCTCCGGAGAAATCCACTGAGGACTCCCCGCGTGAAACCTTTTACGCATATCCAACACTGACAAAATAATAATAATAATAATAATAATAATTGCTAGGTTAAACAACAGAAATATGAAAACTAAGAAACCACCTTTTGTAATGTTTATTTATGCTCTGATGCACTTACAATACTTAAATATAGACAAACGGAATGCTGCATTGATAGAATCAGTCCAGTACTTCAAGTATTGTTTAATAATTTTCCTTACTTCAGATAAAAGTACATTCTTTGTCTCAAATCAAAAAATTATTGTAATCAAACAATGTGTGTGTGTGTGTGTGTGTGTGTGTGTGTGTGTGTGTGTGTTTTGTTTGATTACAAATAATATATTTCTATCAGAACATGATACATTCAAAATTTTCTAGCAGTTAATTCAGTCGAAGAGACAAAGAATTCCTGTTGATACAGTTTTAAAGGAATTATTACACAACTATATCAAACACATTACAGTATATTGAACACTTGTGATCTTTGTATGTATTAATCCAGTCCAGATTTTCTCGCATAAGAAAAAAATCACTATACATTTTGGGCATCAGAAATGATGTATAGAGGTCAACAGTAGATGTATGATCACAAATTACTCACAAAATGCTAACAAATCTGACAAACTAAGCGACCTCAAGCAGAGCAACATAATAAAGATAACAGAATCTTCAAATCATCCTCATAGATCTAACAAAAAAAGTAATGGGCTTTTAAAAATGCTCGCTGACTAGTTTTGAAAACACAGCTTTCTATAGTTAAAATCTATCAATGAGCTAAACGTAAATAGGCAATTCTATCTGCCATGATATACAAAATCACAGATCACTTTCTTTTTCACTGGGTAAAATACAGGACGGAAATACACCCATGGATGCACATTACATAGAAGTGCTGTATTGCAGACAGCAAAGCTAAATATTGGTTAAAGCAAGGCATGCACACACACACACAACTAATGTAGTGAGAGATTATCTGGTTTAAAATGTACCTCTAAGCAAAAGAAAAAAATCCACTTCACTGAGCAAATTGCTATAGTTTTTCATCCTTTCAAGAAATTATACAGATAAAAATTTTTGGACAATGACCCACTTTTCTAGCTTAAAAGACAAAGAGGGTGTTTTTGGTAAAAAGTTTAATGAAACTACAGTTAAATGGACCTAATAGGGCCTTAGATAAAGAAAAAACTATGTAACTTCTTGAAAAAGGAATGGCAGAGAAATTGGTGCAAAGGAAAAAAAGTTGTCTACCAATTCAAACAATATTAGCTCCATTTCTTTGCTTACTAAAATACCAATATATGCACACTACACAAATCAAATTTACAAAATTCCAGTTTTACAACTGTAAATATTAGAATAATATACAACAATTTGGAAAGCCCAAACCGTCATGTTATATATATATATATATCATTAACATCAACATAGGGGTATGTGAATTACAACGAAATTGATTACACTGACAATAAATAATCTTGTAGAATTGGTTTGTACCTTATGCACATCCTAGGGATAAAATCCTCCAGTGCACAAAAAAAAAAAAAATAAATAAATAAATAAATAAATAAATAAATAATAATAAAAAGAGATACACACATCTGACAAAACAAGAATCCAACTATTACATAGGAAACACTGATAATTATGCCAGTACAGTATGGCTAAATTGAAACAGCATCAAACTCAAATGGGGATAAGCTTATACATAACCATCAATCACAGTACTCAGACTATATATCTGTACATAACATTCAAAAAGAGAGTAATCTGCAATTCCCAGCTGTAGACACTAAATTTAAAATCAGACACTTTATCTAACAGGCTATCTTAACAGGTGTTTTAAATATGACAAAAGCATGTGGTATAGATGCAATTTTGAAGCCAAATTACTAGAGGGTAGTTGGTTTAAAGAAAATGGTATAAAAGTATACACAAACACAGCTGTTTTATCCAAATGATATTTTAAATATCTAAATATTGACCTGAATATTAATTTGATCATTATAAATTCCAGATATACAACTGTAAACATAAATGAAGGAGAAAAAAACTATATACTCCATGATTCTCATATAAGAAGAATAAGAAAGACTTCTTAACACTACCAAACTTTCCACTCAATAGTGCCAATGGAAAAAAATCTCAATACTAGCATCATACAGTGATATGTGAGCCTGCTCATCTTTTTCACAAGTTTATAGTCATTGCTTTTTCTTCACAAGATAAATGTGGGGGAAAGTCACATTCACCTCTGCTGTCACAACCAAAGATAGCCAAACAGCAATGGTATATGATTATTGACACTAGTCTATGTCCCCCCATTATAAGCATAGTCTGCCTTATTGTGCATGATCAGTTTATCATCAACAAAGTAATAGCTGTCAGAGCGAGTTTCATATGGGTTGTCAATCATCTCTTTCACTGAAAAACAACAAATTAGCAGAGTTAATAAAATCAAAATACAATTTACTTTCACTAAAATCTCCTCTCTCACAAAACAATAACAACAACAACAATAATAATAAAAATAAAACAAAGAAAAAAATTAATAAGAAAAAGAAAGAAAAGCAAAACAAACCACCAGAACTAAAACCTTATTAAGTGTGAGTGATGTCATTTGCCACATTAGGTGTCAAGCCATCCAATGATATGACTGCTCAGTTCCATTATTTACTTCCTGTTATTCATATTATTGACCCTTCTATGGAAAATCCTAAGAAGTGACCAATAACAACTAGGCTACCTGTCTAACTTTCCAAAATATTTGCAAAACATGCTTTTGTCATTATTTTACAAAATAACATACCTTACAAAACATCATAAAGTAGTAGTTTCCGAAAGATTGCGAAATGATCATAAAATGTGGGGGAAAATACCCAAGTGACTCCTTCTATAGTATGGTAAAAACACCAACAATATATACTTAATTGTTATGTTCAAATTATAAGGAAAATGAAAATCAGCAGGCAGATGTTTTGGGCATAAGTTCTGGCTGTCCACAGAAGCTTTCTCCATATCATATAAGGAAGTTCAATTTTTAGGAAGCACCATTGACTGGAAAGTGCTCTAGGGATGGCCTAAGGCCTTCACTTCATGTACCAACAAGAAAACAACCAAGCTCATAACCTTCTGAAAAAGGCCAATGAATTGACAAATTTTACCCAGTGTTTTTCTGAACATAGTGTTTGTGCAAAAAAGGAGGAAGAGATTTCACATGGTAGTGTGAAACAGAGAAGATACTTACTTTCATCAGGGGTAAGCTGAGGAAATTCGTATATATGCTCTACTGTATTCTTGCTATTTGGAATGCAAAATCCGAACTCGAAATCAAAGCTTTTCAGTAAGCGTTCACGGAAATAATGCCTCTCTATCATGCGGAATTTGCTGACAGGTTTGTCACCAACAGTGAATTCAACGCTGGAAAACAAAATGTATCAAATGATTAAAACATCTTAAAGAAAATAAATACCTAAATTTTGAAAGAAAAAAGAATGCAAAATTTCAGCACCCAAATATCACTTTAACCTCAATAATTAAACAAGCTTCAACTAGAGGATCAGAGAGATGAAACTGCCTCCGTTAGTGTACCACCAGCTGGAGTAAGTGCATTCGTATGGAAAACAAAAAAAAAAGGGGCACCAACTCCAGTGTTGTGCTCTACAAAATGCAAAAAACAAGAGGTTTCTAGCATGTATGGTTTCAAAATTAGAGACTTTTCAATTTCGGCATCTAATGGCTGGATTGACCCCAAACTCATGAAGATTAAAGATGACCATAAGTGTAAAACCTACCCATTATATTATGGGTTAGGTCTGAGTTACCCTCTACCAGGGCGACTGATAGNGGTTTGTAAAAATCATCACAAATAATTTTTTTTTTGGCAAAAAATTCCCATTTTTTAGAAATAATGGCCTATTTAACCTTGAGATAAAGGTCAACGACCAAATCAAAGGGCATATTTGAAATCTCCATACGACTTTCATATAGCTATCAGTAGAAAATTTCCCCATAATTCCTTCGGTTTGGGAGATATTTAGCATTTAATTTTGCAAATTTTCCACAAGGGTGCATTGTGATGAGTGCCACACCCAGACCTGTGCACTGACAAAGCCCAAAATTCACTTGGGATGAGACGAGACTATGTGTGACCTAAATCCAAGAGATGGGTACACTGACCCTTGTAGTCTAGAAGGAGAAGCGGTAATGGCCAAATGGTGGCAGATATGGCGGAGCTGGCAGACGAGACCAGTTGGAATAAAACCACGTGTACCGCCAGCGCTGTGTTGGTGGTACAATAACTATATATGTGTCAATCTTTATATTTTAACTCTAAATGTCACCAATATTTCATATAAGTCATACATACAATTACTCCATTAAATATAGTTTAAATGGCTGAAAGTCACACATAAAGCAAAGGATATGCTGCACTTACGTTGCCCCTACAGTCCGTAGCTTCAGGAAATTTGGTGTGAACTGGTACCTTACAAAACGCCCAGCGTTGGGATCAACCTCATCTGTATCAATGTCATGCTCTTCATCTGTTTCTGAAAAATATTCATAGTGAAACCGTGATCACCTCTTCATTTCACTTTCAAATTCTCAATTTTTACATGCTGGGTCTAAATTTGATACAAATTTAATCTTATTCAATGATCACAAGGGCAATTAACCATTTTGTTGTGTAATTTCTTTTTTTTATTGTTCTTTGTTTCTTGTTAAACATGTATTAAATACACTCATGAAAGGTCATCACTAGTGTCTATTAGATAAAATCAAAAGAGAATTTCAAGTTTTATGATTTCAGTCATCTAAATACAGTTCATGTTCAGTGAAAAACCTCAAGAGTAAACATGCTCAGATTCTTTATCAATAGTTGTACAGCAATTAACTAAACTAACATGTATAAATCAAGCAATCCACATACACATCCTTTTATTTTATTTCAAATAACTATCAAAAAGAAAATGAAGAGTCCCCAATGATAAGAACCACCAAGATAAGAATGAACAAATTATGAGTCAATTCATGTCCTGATGAAGAAATGAAGTCATTCCACAAATCAATATTCATATTGACGTTTATTGATATTCAAATTGTGGCAATCATTCTATAAGTAGCTGGACAATGTTGCTTCTAATGTCAGTGCACTGAGTATCTCCAGTATAAATGCTTAAAAACACCTATCATGGTGTAAAAACTTGCTCATCATTAAGTGACAGGCAACATAAGACAGTATGGTACAGGAGAAGGTAACTTACCTGATGGTGGAGGCTTTGCCACTTCAAAAAGAACAGTAGAAGTGTCCATGTCTCTCAGTTTAAACCGTGTGAAATCAATATTGAATACGTTGGCCTCTGGTGGGCATAAGTAATCTATAATAAAAAGAAATATATTTGCCTTAAATACAAATGCTATAAATTCCCAGGGAGGATGATTATTATAAATGATACAGCTGACAAAGTTTTAGAATAAATTAACATTTGGTAAAGATAAAATTATTCAACCTTTCTGAATTTACTAAATTCCCATTAAATATCATAAGAATAAGCTTCAGGCGTCTGAAAATAATAACTAATATAAACTGAAAAAAGGTCACCACATGGTTCAAGGTCACAGTATGGTTCAAGTGCAAGGTCACCATATGGTACTAGTGCACTTTTCAGAAAAATTTATTAAACTGTTTTATAACAGCTGTTTGTTTCTAATATGTAACATTAACATGCTGTATTAGCATTAATGTCTTTGCACGTGAGGCAGTTAATGTTTATTTCACATTCCACAAACTGAAGAGCAGGCTAAATGTTGTGACACTGTCATGTTTATTGATGGCTAATGTATGTTGTTTGATTTTTGTGAATAATTATCTTACAAACCCGTGTACTTACGGTAAAGTCTTGAAAATTTCGTCGTTCTTGAAAATTTCGTCGGCAGAAGATTTTCCGCCGACGTAATTTTTTTCCCTTTGAAAACTTCGTCGACCTTAAAAATGAGGTAATCGATAATTTTTGAAAAGTTCGTCACCAAATATGGCCGCGTTGTCCAGCTCAAACATGAAGGTAATGCGTCAGTTGATTCAAGACAATGATACGATCAGGATATCATTGCCGATAACACTCTCAATGGGAGATAGGAACAATAGTGCGCCCCTGCGAGCGGTTACTCACAATATAGATGGTTTAGATGTGAATTCCCGTTCTCAATTGCGGGAACGTCGGCCTTTTGTCTTTAGTTGCATTACTATTACCTGGCTTAAGGTGCGTTATCAAGCCGGCAAATAGTAGTCACAGGCCGCG